CCCGGTCTGCCTCTCGATTTGGGGTGCACACTGAACTGGCTTCACCACGCCGGAGAGCAGGTAGTATCGGTGTTGATACGAGGTCAAGTTTTTACATGGAGGAGCCTCGTTCGAAGGACGATCTCGTTCTCGACGAAGTCCCCCCTCCAACCATGGCCTACTCCGACCCTGAACCAGACGATGACCATGAATCGGATATGGATTATTACTTCAACTCCCATACAACAACTGGATCCCCCCCTCCAGCCTCTTTTGAATCGGAACCCCAGCAGACCACTATGGTCTCAAGGATACCCACACCTTCTCAGAAACGACCCAGTCGCGACGATGCTCAGACAACAAGATCGATGGTCACCCCTGAGCCCGTCAGAGGGAGTTCCGATTCTCCATCGACGGCATCAACGGCCCCTCCTCGCACTCCCACGCCAAGAGCAAGGTCTCAGACTCCGACCAAAGCCACGGGAAACCAAACCCCGAAACGAAAGCCGAAGAGTCCTGGTCCAGACAAGTCACCAAGGTCGAGTGGCATAGCGAAGGGGGTGAAGACTCCACCCAAGACTCCACCCTCTGCCCACAGGATCAAGAAGGGAGAGGAGAGTCGACGCTCCGTCGGTGTTTACCCTGTGACAGATCTTGAAAATGCGGAGCACGCGATTCCGACATGGACCCAGCCAATTGCAGGGTCAAATTGGGACGAGGTACGAGTACATTCCTAACCAAAACTACGGTGATGAGTAACCGTCACGAGTTAGGTAGTTTTGCCAGCCGTCGCCCGCAAAAAGGGTCTGGACGGACAATATCAAACTACAGATGGGAGTCCCGAGCCGCGGAAGCCTCAACCCGAGCGTCCGGAACCTGTGCGCGTTTCTACCTTTGACATTTGGGTGCGATCTGATTGACTACGTTTCTTCAGGCTCCAGGAACGTTTGGCTACGACTACTCCAAGTATAGACCTCCAAGAGACGGAGAGCCTATGCCTAATGGCATTGAGTTAGGCGAGTTTGGTAACAGACAGTTTGCCATTGACACCGATCCCGTTGTCGAGGAGGCCCTGAAGGAAGACCCTCCCGCCGCCACCACCACCACCATAATCGAGGACCAGCGACCGATTTCAAACACGAAGCAGAATGGCTACAACCCCCGTCCCTCACCCCCTCCATCTCCTGCTCCGTTTTCGCATTATACGCCTAAAGGTCCACTCGAAGCAAAGCCCGTCCCCTCCCAGACTCACCGCCTTGTGGAGGAAGACGAGGATCACGGCGGTGGTTGCTGCAAGTGTGTTATCATGTAATTGTCTTTTTCATCCCTTTACCTTCTTGTACACGGTTCTCCTTCCAACGACCCCTCAGGCGACAAGGCCTTTCAAGGACTCTCCTTAATCTATTCAGATCCAGTGCTGCATGTTGTTCTTTCACCATCAACATTTCGTCATGCCCTTCCCTCTGAGGATGTACTATACCTTGTTTAGTTCCCCCTTCAGGTCCCCTCCATGTCGAGTATCACCGATGCCGGCCACCCCATCTTATCAGCAACCTTCTTTGGGCGTAAATATTCTCAATCAGCGTTGTATTTGCGGTTTTCACCGTTTCCTGCCTCATGTTAGACGCTCGTTCCCGATACCACGCTCCTTTCTCGCTTCCCATTCTTTCCCATTTCCAGCGAACTATCCTACTACATCATCATGGTACTCCTCTTTCACTCACAGCGACTTTTTTCTCTCGGGATTTACAGTGTTGCATCCTCATTTACCCCCTAATCCTGAAAATGACAATACCGTCGTTCCGTCATTCTATTGGTGGTGGCCCTCCAGACGACGCCTTTTGGTACGTTCTTGCGAATGTCATTTATCCTCGTCCGACGAACGGCATTTCCGTTGCCCTAGAGTCCAGCAGATCAGCTATGCCCTCACCATGGTCAAAATCGCCTCACATGATTTTATAGTCTAGCACCGTAACATTTGTGGGCAGGCTCGCAATGTGCACGATACTCTGCGCAACATGTTCCACGTCAAAAGTCGCCTCTGGAACCGTCTGTCCGTTTGACTGCAGAGCTCCTTGTGACAACCTGAATGACATGTCCGTTAAGGCATTGCCTGTCGGAACATAAGGCTACCCCTGAACCAAACCCGAGATGTCACTAACCAATATCAATTTGAGTGCAGGTTATCCCGTGACTCCTCCCCTCCAGTGCCGTGGTTTTTGTCAAACCAGTGATAGCGTGTTTCGAGATGGTATATGGGAAAGAGTGTGGACGAGGGATATGTGCGGACAGCGATCCGTTGTTTATGATCCTTCCTAAGTGGCTTTGAGATCACACAATATACGCGAACGTACCGAAAAACCAACCGCCTGGGGGGTTTTGCGCCTTGAAGACTTTGAACGCCTCACGAGTGCAGATTACAGCGCTAGTCACATTTACATCCATCACCTTTCGGAAGGCTTCAATGGGGAGATCTTCTATCAATGTGGAGGGATAGCCCATCCCTGCGTTCTGCAGATACGAGGTCAGGGAAAGCGTGACGACCATCGGTTCTCATCTGCCCGTACGTTGAATAACAGGTCCAACCGCCCTACAAACCACAAACCTCGGCGTCAAGTCTCGCATCAAGAATGATTTCATGCCTACCGAACGTTGAGACTGTTTGTTTAAATAATTCTAACACGAATCGCTCGTCTGAGATATCTCCAGCAAGAACGAGAACCTTGGCGGTTTTCCCGCACTGTGTTCTTGTTTCTTCCAACCGATCAAGCCTTCTAGCTGTGATCGTGAGATCCCAACCCGCTTTTGACAGGGCGGTTGCAGTAGCGCGTCCGATACCTACGTGGCATTGATACAGGCAAGCTGTAGGCAGTTCAAGCGATAACTCGTACCTGAAGATGCTCCCGTGATGAGCGCTACCTTGTTCATGTTTATGAGGTTGACCTGAGCTAGTTGAATACGCTCGACGGTAGGATCCAAGATCAACTGCGTACCTTTGATTGAAATGTCGACGCCGTCGTCTACTTAACTTGCAACACCTGCGATGCCGCAATGGGTCGTGGCAAAACTATGGACGTGATCGGTGATCATCACCTTGGAACAAGGCCACCCAACTCTGCTCTACCACATTGACTATCCTTTACGTTGGATCCTTACTGAGACGTTCGCCAAGAACCCAAATGCGGTCAGCTTTTTCTACCGCCTCTGCGAGCGTGACTCGTTAGATTCTATAGATCTGAATCCGACGAGAGCGGTATCGAGGGGGATCACAGCTGGTGGCATCCCCGGGGACCAAAAGTCACTCATCTGCACCCACTTTGCTATGCCCGCCGGAGATGCTGGGCAAAATATTCAAGAAGTCGCTTGGCTACCCAGCTCATATCTCTACCTCCCCGAAGCAAACATTCAACTTTTTGTTTGCCTGTCGCTGGTGGTACCAGGTTGCGATAGACGCTGCGAGATTTTGGACCTTTTTGGATGGCAACGTTAAAAGTTGACCTACTTTCCTGATTCAATCTAAATTCGCCCCCCTTCACCTACATCTATCAACTTCGGAGCGACATACCCATATATATCGCAACAAGGTCCCCCCTCCAAGAGTGCCTTGAGACTCTACATACCGTTGAGAGTTGAGGTACCTTGAGCATCCTTCTGGGGCTTTTACTCCGCGGATGCAATGTGGACATACCTTCTCGACTTACGTCGGTGAAATCGGTCGCCGCGATCGCCCTCGCTCACAGCTTACAAGTAACCGAGCGGGCGAACATCCCCGATTCATTCATATCGCGCCGATTTCCCTTACTTCAACAACTCGAACTTCGCGATTGCCATTGCGACTACCAGGCAGCGATGTTCCACACTTCAAGCTTGAAGCGCCTCTCAATCACCTCCTACGATGCTGTCACCTCCCCCTCGATGGGTGAATTCGCCTCCATACTCGGCGACGACAGGGGTTTAGAATACTTAAAAACCAGCCCCCGAACGCTGGGAGAGGACCAACGGAGGCATATACCACACTCACCGTTCCCCCAGACACTAGTCATCGAAGGAAAGCTATTTCGCATAGAAAACTTCCTCCTTGTGTCTCCCATCCCGAAGTAGGTGACGATCCAATTCGACCCTGTCGGCCACACCTTGATCGCTACTGTGCCGTCGCTCGCTGTGCTCATCGCGGCACCGCCGCTAGGAAGTTCCGCCTCGATTCTCGGCAGGCGTCGTTGGAACTCGACGCATGCAGTGATTCGGAAGTCACAAAACCATATCTCTCCTTCAACTTCCGGCAATCGATACACGTCCGTCCGTCGAGGATCGAACTATCCGCCGTTTACTTCATAGTACCATGCGACAGCGTTACCCTGTTAGAGGTACGAGGAGATCATCACCCACCCGATGGATGTGTTGCTCCCTTATTCCGTATGGGCACCGTCAACCAACTACAGACATTCGAAGACTGCGCCCTGATCAGACAGTGGCAGATACGCTCCTCTTCCCTGGGCTAAAGAAACCCTGGCTAGACAACGTGAATTTCACGGCAGTTGTCGAATACAAGAGTTTCTTCGAACAGCTTAGCGGTTGCATACGCCATCGCAGGGAAGCAGGTGCGGAGCTGGAAAGTCTTGCGCTGCGTGGGTGTAACATCCGAGTGGAAGATTTGTACAACTTACATGAGATAGTTGGAAAGGTGGGTGTACGGAGCGGGAATGTATACATAGCGCCAGAGGATCCGGTGTTTGTGATAAGCACAAGTTGATAATTCATGTGGTTTCTGAATACTCTAAAAGTTGCCTAGATTCGAGCAACTGGGTGTGCGTGTGACCGTAGAGCAGCCGGAAATCCACACAAAAGTGTACGTAGTAAGACTCGTTGGAAGGGAATTTCCCCGATAGGTAACACGCGTGCGCGCAAAGACATCAGATGCATCAACCGTTGCTGCAGGTCCAAGCCCAACATATTGGGGGGATCGACTTCGACAACGATGAATGTATGTTTGTTGATTAATTGACCAAAAAGAGCGTAAAAAACGACGCCAGCAGGGATCGAACCTGCGCCCGGAAACCGGAACAGATGACATCCCGTCAAGGCGGCCAACCAAATCGCTGGAATTCTAGTCTGTCGCTTTAACCACTCAGCCATAGCGCCCTGAAAAATGGAAAATTTCGAGTTATATAAACTTTCTCCCTCCTTCGACACCACGTGAAGACATAAAGTGGACTTTCCAACCCAAGGAATCGCACCAGAAGAGAGAAGGTCAACTGTGATTAATGATTAATGATTTCTGACGCATCTCGTGCGGGTGACATCGCCCGTGTCCCGTGCGAGTTTCATGATACGTTCGTCGCTTGAATACCTCACTCAGTTGACGCGAGGGTTTCTACACCTATCTCTCTTCCAGCCGTCGGTGACCCCTGTATTACCCCATATACCTCGAAGTGTTCTTCTCGCAGGGAGATTGTTCTTTTCTCGCTGTCCTAAGCGAATTAGGTGAAAGGAATGGACGCACCGAAGCTAACATGGATGTTCCCATGGGATTCCCAGATCGTCTGAAATGCATGGTTATGCCGTTCCGGGACTCCAACATCTCCTGTCTTTCGGGGTGGCACCCCCAGAATAGCTTGAAGGGGGGTCTGAGACGACCTTTCTTTAGGGCCCGAGATGATCGTTTGACACGGATTTGTGGATAATCAAGTATTGGATATTGGAAGGTTGCGGTTGTAGGACTACAAACACGAACCTCATCGTGAAGTATTGATTGGTCGCATAATATATAACATATGCGAACAAAATTCCAGGGGCATGTGGTGCAGGAAAAAACACCCACGCTCGCTTAAGCTCAAGTATGGGCGGTGGGGCTGTAAGTGCTGAGGCCTAGGTTTCATTACAGGAAGGTAACGCACGCTGGGGGGACTTGGAAGCCAAGGTTTCGCACAGTGGGTGGGACAAATGGCTTCCGAAAGACGAGCGGGTGCAACGAGGTCAGGCCTTCAGATCTTCAGAGCTTATGTCAGAAACGCCCCGGCGAGTCGGATATGGGATTTAATGACCCCAATCATCCCTTTGGCTTCGTCCGAACCCTGGTACGACAACTTCATAGGAGTACAGGGTCAGTTCGAAACTGAGTTTGGGGAAGACCCTGTACTTCTGGAGTAGGAAGGTCAACGTATGCAAAGTTATTCCGTGCGCACAAGCGCACCCAAAAGGGACCCCCTTGTCCGTAGAACCCCAGAAACCTTACTAGCTTTATCGTGCCTAAACCAGCTCAACGTGTAACACCCTTTCACATGGGAAGGTCCAAGTATTTTTCAGGTGTAAAGTATGGGCAACGGAAGGAGACTGCGTCAGAAAGGGCGAGAGAATATCGATAGGGCCGTGATCTCATTTCTTGGAGTGTATCCGCGGCTCGAACGAGTTGTGCAAGAATGCACCGCATCAATTGCAGTCATTTGGCTTGGAACGGATAACTAGGCTTGATAGACGGGAGGGAGGATATAGTAGTGCGGGGGATGATCGCCTCGGCCACTTGGCAAACCTAGGCTTACTCCTGGGCCCCGATCACCTGTCCTTCCTTTCCATTGAGCTCTCCTCCCCCATCTACTAAAGAAGCATCAAACATGCAGGCCGGTCAAACACCTGTGTTTGTAATGAGTAAGTGGTGTTCGAGACCTTCCCCCCCACCTGCACAACGGCGCTGATCTCTGTGCCTTAGACACCACGCCAGAACGGCAATCGGGAAGAAAAGCTCAAATCTCAAACATCACCGCTGCAAAAGTCGGTGGCATTACCTCTGGGAACCATTGTTTTGGCTGATATCCGGCGAATAGACTGTCGCAGATGTGATTAGGACGTGTCTGGGTCCAAAGGCAATGTTAAAGATGATTCTTGACCCAATGGGTGGTATCTTGTGAGTCCCCATCTTATCGTGTTCCTTTCCTTAACCTCATCAACACCTCCCTCTGATCTTTGCTTGTTATAATTTTCTTCCCATGGGTGGTCATATCTTCTGCGATTCTTCAATTCAAACTTCCCCAGGCTCACAAATGACGGAAACGCGATTTTGCGAGAAATCGACGTGGCCCACCCCGCGGCAAAGAACATGATTGAACTCAGTAGGACCCAGGATGAGGAGTGTGGAGATGGAACAACAAGTGTCATCATTCTCGGTTCGTCGATTCCAGTCCCCGTTTCTCTCATCCCCTTGCTAACTTCTAGTCGCAGCCGGAGAGATCCTCGCTCAATCACTATCCCAACTCGAGCGAGACATTCACCCCGTCGTGATTATATCGGCGTACAATAAGGCTCTCAAAGAGTCCCTGGAAATCATTAAGCGGATATCAGTCCCTATAAACGTTGACAACGACGAAGAGATGCTCTCTCTCATCAAAACTTCCATCGGCACCAAGTTCGTGGTACGCTGGTCAGATCTGATGTGTAACCTTGCCCTACAGGCAATCCGTACCGTGGCGCAAGACCCCGAATTGGATCCATCTCTCCCAGGAGTAAAATCTGTCGACATAAAACGTTACGCCCGAGTGGAGAAGGTTCCTGGCGGCGAGATCGAGCAAAGCCGTGTGTTGAACGGGATTATGCTCAACAAGGATATCACGCACCCGAAAATGCGACGGAGGATCACCACACCACGTATCGTCCTCCTCGACTGTCCCCTCGAATACAAAAAAGGAGAATCGCAGACGAACATTGAGATCACCAAGGACACTGACTGGTCGAGAATCCAGGAGATCGAGGAGGAGCAGGTGAAGGCGGTGGTCGACAAAATCGTGGAGTTTAAGCCGGATCTGGTCATCACCGAGAAGGGAATCTCTGACTACGCTCAGCACTTCCTGTACAAGGCAAATGTCTCCGCTATTCGTCGCGTCCGGAAGTCAGACAACAACCGCATTGCTCGTGCAGTCGGCGCTACGATTGTCAACAGGGTCGAGGACCTCCGAGAGTCAGACGTTGGAACCGGCTGCGGAGTCTTCTATATCGAGAAGATCGGAGACGAGTATTTCGCGTTCCTGGACGAGTGTAACTCTCCAAAGGCGTGCACGATCCTTCTGAGAGGACCGTCGAAGGATATATTGAACGAGATCGACAGGAACCTTGCGGACGCAATGTCCGTCGCAAGGAACGTGATTTTCAATCCCATACTTGCCCCAGGAGGTGGTGCGACAGAGATGGCAATTAGCGTCGGATTACAACAGAAGGCGAGAAGTGTTACTGGAGTTGAGGGTTGGCCGTTCAGGGCTGTCGCGGATGCGATGGAGGTCATCCCAAGAACATTGGCTCAAAACGCTGGCGGAAATGCCATAAGGGTATTGACAGAGTTGAGGGTACGATTTCTTACCTCTCAAGAGGTCACCCTTTGCACATCTCTGACGTGAACCGAATTCCAGGCCAAGCACGCCAACGGCGAGCACTCATGGGGTATCAATGGAGACACAGGAAAGGTGGCCGACATGAAATCTTACGGTCTCTATGAATCCGCTAGCGTCAAGATTCAGATACTGAAAACAGCGATCGAGGTAAGTGGACCGCTCGAATTCCTTACTTGAGTCTGTGACTGATTATCAAGTCTCGCTTAGGCCGCTAGGATGTTGTTACGGGTCGATGACGTCGTCCAGGCTACAAGGAAGGATAAAGAGAGGGAGTCTGGAGGACCGTCGATACCAGAAGCGGAGTAGTTGCGCACCTGTACCCGTATACAACTTGTTGGACACCATGATCAATTAGAAACTGTCCACTCAGTTGTATATGTCGAGGTTGCTTTCAAGTTCCAAGCTTCAAGTTAGGTCAAGAGGATCTCCGACCGAGCGGTGCGAATTTGTAAGGAGAAACATTTGATGCCAATCGACGGCTTCGTTGATGACGGTGAATCGTTGCTGGGGAAGGATCCCATGCGGCACTCCTTTGAATAAACCAGAACGAACAATGGTAGACTATAGTATACGACAACCTCGACAGAACAACAACACATCCTTTTAACGATACACCTTTACGCTACGACTTTCGTCACCCATGGGGCGAAGGGAGCTTTCAGTGAGATCCCGAGGGAGGGTCGTAGGGGGTCCTCAAGTGCTCGCTTGGTAATTCATACTTCTCACTGTCGTACATCCCACCAGGAGCAAAGGACTCTCCGGTCTTTACATAGCCATGGGCAACCCTTCCACCCTTACGGCGACGGAGGAGGGCGAGTATGGCAAGGACAATGTATCCGAGACCCATAACACCAACGGCAGCGATGAGTCCAATGATGAGACCCTTGTTCTGATCGTTTCCGGCAAAGTCGAGGTTAGCCTTCACATTGCCGCCGTTGGAGGTGTTTGGGTTAGTGGTGGTAGTGTTGGTGTTGGTGGGGGTGGTGTTGTTGTTGGAAGTGGGCCCGGGTGGGGCGTGCTTCTGAAGCTGCAGGGTGGGCTGATTGGTGCGGTTGATTCCACAGCGTTTGGTGCACTCCTCGAGAGCGTGGGCAATGTTATCAGGGATCTGTTATATCAGGGGATCAGATAATGATCGAGAACGAGACGTAAAGGGGTGCCAACCAATTGGGAAATCTTCTCGACCTCGGATGGGTCGATCCCAAGGGAAGCAGCGACAACATCAGCGGGCAAACCAAAGACTGTCAGACAAAGGAACGTGTAAGCAACGCGTCTCAGATTTGGGGCGATAAGGGAGAAATGAGATACGCACGTCGTTGAGCGCTAAGATGAGAAGAAGGCAATTGGATTAGTCGAATAGAGAACATGTGGAAACGGGCATGATAGGTCACACTGACACTTGGCTAAAGAGAGGGGTAAGTGGCGTCGGCAAGGGAGATAAGAGGGAAGTCTCACTTTACGCCTGGGAAAGAATCCTTGAAGAACGCGATGAAGGTCACAGGCTCGCAGTGGTCGTTGAACTCAAAGTGGATGGCACTCTGAGGGAAGAGGGTGGCCTGGTTTGTCTTGACCTCGTTGAAGACGAATTTTCCACCGTTCTCCGGAATCATGCCGGTGATAAGAGAGCCGTTTGTGACATAATTGAATTCTGGAGACCTCGGATGGGTATGAGGGGTGTTCATGCCGCATGGCCCAAGGAAACCGGCAGCTGTGAAAGGTGAGGTGGGCACGCGTCAACTGGGCAGGGACAGAGGGCGCAAAAGTCTT